TCTCTCTCTCTCTCTCTCTCTCTCTCTCTCTCTCTCTCTCTCTCTCTCTCTCTCTCTCTCTCTCTCTCTCTCTCTCTCTCTCTCTCTCTCTATACTGTCGAGCGTCGTCAGAGGTCACCCATCCTCTCGGCCAGTGCGTCCCTCAGAATTAGCGCATCTCCCGTCGAGCTCTCCATGCACACCAGCCTCAAGGGACGTTGGATTCCAAGATCCACGCGACGACGCACTCTGTTGGCATCCACCTCCCACGACAGATTCTCATCAAACGGGATGTCGGCGTCGATAAGCAGGTTGTGGAGAATGCACACATCCACAAACTGTTGCGGCGATGTCTCCATGTTCGTCTTGTGCGACCGCAGGAACAACCTCCATATCCACTTCAGTCTGCCGAAAGCCCTCTCAACCGCCCCCCTCGCGGTCTTCTATTTATTGTCGAACAGTGTCTCCGACGGGTGACGAGTAGTGGTGCCATAGGGAATGACTATCCATTTCGACGGTGGGTAACCATTGTCGCCCAGCAGGTAGTCGTTCGTCTGGATGCCGAATGACAGCATCACAAGCGGTCCTGTGAAAAGTTTGCCAGCCTCTGCACGCGCCCATAGACTAGACAAGTGAATGATCCTGATGTCGTGTCAGCCCTCAGGATAGCCAATGAAGACATCCAGCACACGCAAGTCCAGATCGACGACGACCTGCACGATGATCGAGAAACGTCGTTTCCGATCGTAGTAGTCCTCGCTAGGGGCGTTTGCCGGCTTGTTGATGTAGATGTTCGTGCAGTCGATGCAGCCATGACAGTTGGGGAACCCCTTGCCAGTGAAAGCACAGAGGACAACAGACTTGCGCACCCCCGCCGGCCACGATATCTTGTCACGGTAGACCATCAGCAACGCCGTAGTGACGTCTCTCAGCGCCACCAAACTTGACGCTTTGCCGATGCCGAAGTTACAAGTGCTGCTCTCGTACGTCTCCCCCGACACCAACCTGTACAACGTGTACACGACGATCTGATCTGGCTGCAGCGGCTCACTGTAGAATGTCACACGGCGCTGCAGCAACGGCGACAGAGCTTCAGCAATCTCTTGGAAGACACGTGGCGACATGCGCAGCTTGTCTCGAAAGCAGTCCTCCGTCGCGTCGTTGCATTGCCGCAGATCCTCCCATGCCCCACCCGTCCTCCTTTTCATCCACCATCTTGGCGTTGCTCTGGGAAGAGGTCCGCAACGGAAGGTGCAGCACATGTGAATGACGGCATTGCAGATGGCGGCGGTGTGCTGTGCACTGCGTGACCTTCGTCCTCCTCGCCCGGATCTGCGCTTTCATTCTCCCTGTCGTCCTCTCCATTTGACAATGAAAGAGGACTGCAGTAACAGCCGCTGCCGCTGCCGTCCTCTCCGCCGTCATCAGCTTCCCACCGACGTCAAGGTCACCGCCGTCCATCGCTCCCAAATGAGACTCGAGGTCGTATTCTCCCCCGACGTCTTCCTTGCCTGGCCGCACGCAGTTCTCGCCCCGATGACTGCCGCGATGACGTCTCCTCCCCCAACGACTGGCGCGACGGCAACTTCTCCCCTGATGACGGCCGATGGAATCTTCCCCCCCCCAAGCGACTGCCGCGATGACGTCTTCTCCACCGACGTCTTCCTTGCCTGGCCACACTCAGCACCCACGCCGACCCCCCCGACGCGCTGTGGAAGGAGCCTCCTTTCCGACGTCCTCCACCAGCCGCCGCAGGACCACGACGAACCGCCCTCACCCCAGCAACGTCATTCGAAATTTGAATTTCGAACAGGGACGGCGTGCCTAGTTTTTCTTCTTTTTTTTGGGGTCGCCAGAAAGACTCGGACTTTTGCCGCCAATCGAAGCTGGACCACGGCCGTACCAGCGGACAGCCGCCCATGGACCACCGACCCCACCCCTCCCTGCGGTCGCCAATAAGATTATTAACTGGAGGACGACTGGGCGCGGGACCTCTATAGGAATCCTCCTCGGACGTCCATCCCGAGGATAAGTGGAACGACGGTGGGAAAAATCTCGGAAGCCCCGAAGGAAAACTCCTCGGGCCCCGAGGATGCCCCGAGCAGTGTCTAACGAGCCCCTTTGTCCCCCATCTGACCTTTCTTTGGTTGATCTGCAATGGTATGGGGTACCGTGGGAGAAGATCAAAGATGTGACTTTTTGTTAAATTTCAAAAATTTTGACCGCACAATGAAATTGAACGACGATTTTTTTGTTGTCACTTTTGACACTTTCAGATGCTTGGGCTCCTTGATAGAAGGCAGTATGCATTAACACTAAGTAAATTTGAAAAAAAAAAAACACAAAAAGAGGGAAAAAAAACGTAGTGCAATTTTGTCGCACGAACATGGATTGGTTTGGTAGAGGGGAAGGATAATTTTAATTTTAAATTTCAGATTTGGAATTGCTGTTTGGTTTACAGTTTTATTTCCTGATCCTTCTCCCCTCCCTCTGAGCTGGCTCTGGAGGATATGGAATGCCTTGGTAGGGGGATAATATAATTTCAATTTTTTTTATTTTGGATTGCTGCTTGGTACATATGGTAGAACCGTAGAACTGCTTGGTTGATACACAAAGTGTCTGGCGGCACAGAATGGGCTGAAGAGGCAGGCTTCTATATTCAAACTCATGATGTTTTATTCCTGTAATTAAGTCAGGAATGCTGGACCTGGTTTCCAGCAGGTGCAGCTCCCCACTAATAGATGGAGCGACCAGTCCTTGGTTTACTAGGGGAGGCTATGAAGGATGTGAGGGGCCCTTCAAGAGGGACTTCAGGCTTGTCTTCCCGGAATGGTTCCAACTTCAAGGAGGAGCTACACTCATATCTCCGGTTTTCTTTTCAGATCCATTTCCCCCCTCTGAGTTAGCTCTTGTAGATTTGCAGTGGTATGGCTTTAGGGGGGAGCGAGTATTATCGAGTATTATTTTTACAGCCTGAGGGGGAAGCTATGCTTGTGTGTTATTGATCGATCTGGTGGTCGTTCGGGACTGAAGAGGCATCTTGCGTCCTCCAAAGGATATTCCTCACACTGATTTGTATTCTTGGGACGCTGGACCCGGTTTCCAGCAGGTGCTACTCCCCACCAATAGATCGTTGTCACTGGCGGGGTAGGTAGGAGTGCATGCTCTTACCAAGACAATCATGGAAGCGTGGCAAGGACTGTGAGAAGCCCGCTGCCCCCGAGGGAAGAAGGAAAGGAGGCATTTTTGATAACGGTTCGAGACAGCCGAACCGGGGGGACGGGACGACCGCCTGCCCCTCGGCGTCCACCCCCGAGCACTCTCTACCTACTGTACTACCTACGACAAACCTGAAGGAACTTCTGTGTGTTGTGTGTAAAATTGGACGCTGGACCGGGTTTCCAGCAGGTGCTGCTCCCCACCAAATTGAATAGAAAGGAGCCGTCCACCGGGGGCTATGGGGGGATGCTCGTGTCACCTCCCAAAGCCGGCCCACGAGAAGTTGAAAAAAAAAAAAAAAACCCAAAATTTCTCAGGCCGTGCGCTGGAATCCCTGCTTCCTTGCCGCGAATCGAAATTGTTGGTTCCTGTGGATCTGACAGAACTGGTAGAGACACTGATAGCGCGTTGGCAGTGAGGCAATCAATTCTGCTTCGCTAGAATTTCGGGGTGCAATTGTGAGGTCCCGTTCAATAAAAATAAAAAAAAAGAATAAAATAAAAAATAAAAAAATTGTGAGGTCTCAAGGCTCCCATCATATTTGGACTGTCACAGAAGAAAACGTACTTGCCCTGAAAAAGGGGAAAGGGTGGGTGCGGCACACGTTTAGTTTGAAATAGGCAAGAAAAGACAAAGTGGCGCCGGTGTCATGGTGTGAGTTTCAAAATGTGCAAGTTTAGCGGGGGTCTAAAACTGCGCCAGTCAGTACCCGCCGTGGCGCTTGGCAGATCTAGGGGGGTCGTCTTTTTTGCTCCATTTCAGGAAATGCTAAAGTTGCCTATTCTGAACGTTGGGCGTGAATCCAACATGCTGGCCCCAAAGAAAAAAAGATAAGGATATGTATATTATATATATATATATATATAGGACATATTTATGCATATATTATAACATGGGCAAAGTAATAAGAGAAAACTACGGCGCAGTCAAGGATTGAGTTTGTAATTGCACTTGAGGCAAAAGGGCCGGTAATGCTGAATGTATATGACCTACGTTTCCGGTCCGGTGGGGTCGCATGGGGGTGTGTTGTATTCGCGGGATTGCCTGAAGTGCAATTACAAACTGTTTTCGTGACTGCGCTGAAGTTACCCCAAGTAATAATGAAGTCCACTTGGAGCATTTCTGGATTAAATTTTATGCATGCCATCTCTGTGCAGGGGCTATGCTAATCTTCTGTGTATGCCTCTCTTATAGGAGGAGCTGCTCTCCTTTTGTGAGGGACTCTAGGCCCATTTCCTGGCTTGTATAATAAAAGTTGCTCCTCTCAAAAAACAAAGAAAAAAGAAGGCCACTTCTCCGAGTTCGAGTCTGATGTGGCGACATGTGGGGGCATGGTCCCATCCACCATGGATGCACAGCTCATCTACTTGTGGACGTCATTGGGCTCCTGAAAGCATAGCTTACTCACACTAGAAATTTATGGACTGAATTTGGCCTTTATTTCGGAACAGATACGTGCTGGAAAGTCCTAGTATGATTGGACCCTGAAGACTCCAGATGAGTAGAGAACATCATCATTCCACTGGCCTTACCTACAAAAGAATTTGCCACGTACTCATTTTTTGTTTGTTTATTAATGGGTTGAGTATATATAAACCGAAAGAAAAATGGAAAAACAGAAAATTCAAACGGGCTTTTCTCCGCACGTGGGTGGAGGTTCCGTTGCCTATGGTCATCCTTATGGAGGAGGAGATCTGGGATCCCTCAACTAGACAGCCATACCGAACAATAGAAAGGTCGTGCAGTTTGCTCGCATTTTCAGAAAGAAGAATTTGTGTGTGTGTGTGTGTGTGTGTGTGTGTGTGTGTGTGTGTGAGAGAGAGAGAGAGAGAGAGAGAGAGAGAGAGAGAGAGAGAGAGAGAGAGAGAGAGAGATGAATACAGCACTTTTCACTAGAAAAGTTGGAAAAGCAGTTCTTTTCCTCTTCTCGCCACCTTAAAGTTTCTTTATTCTCCATGAAAAGATTCACCTGATTAGTGGAAATTGCCACAGATATATTACTATAAAGCATGGGCACATTCAAGATAGCTGCTCAACCCACAAATATAGCAGGGAAAACAGACGAAGTCCCTCGCCTCACTACTCATGACAGCAGACCTATGTATGTTGCTACCTTCTATATGATAATGCGCTCACCATTTTTCTCGTTTCCTGAGTAGTGTGGCTACCGGACCCAAAGGAAAGGAACTAGGTCCGGAAGAACGGCTGCAGGCTGTCCAGACCTTTTTTTTTTTGTTGAGAAAACTCATCAGTTGGCCCTGCTAGGGATAGTGATACAAGCACCCACCCCTAGCTGGTAGCCTGTTGACTCCAATCTATTGGTGGGGAGCTGCACCTGCTGGGAAATGGGTCCAGCGTCCCTTATACATAGTTTTTCAGAAAAGTATGAGAAGTATTTGAATGTGTTAGGAGTTAGAGGTCCAGCGCCCCTTATACATAGTTTTTCAGAAAAGTATGAGAAGTATTTGCATGTGTTACCCTTATACATAGTTTTTCAGAAAAGTATGAGAAGTATTTGAATACGTTAGAAGTTAGAAACTGAGGATTGGCTGTGATCCATCTCTCCCGACTCTCAGCCTTTTGCATCTATTTCTCCTGTCATACTGAATCAGCTCGTGCTATAGCTCAAAAACCCTCTCTACCCCTCTTGCTGTATCTTCTGTAATCAGCCTCTTCAGCCTTATATGGCCGCCAGATCAGACATTTTCATCTAGCTGATTACAGCTTATCAAAACATTTTCCTCTTCATTCGCAGCCATACCAGCTCCTGGGGACCAGGGATAATGAGGAGGGGGGGAAGGGATCTGGGAACTCTGATTGGGGGCGAAGGGGTACTATTGAGGCCATGTTTGAATATCAGGCGGTAGTCCCCTTGGATTTCTACGCTTTCCTTTTCTTTTCTTTTTTCTTTTTTTTTTTTTCTTTTTTTTTTTTGGAAAGTCATCCTCGGAGGCAGCTTGAGGTGCTGGTAGGAGCAGTCACCTCTAGCTGGTCCGGGGGAAGGCTCCATCTATTGGTGGGGAGCAGCACCTGCCGGGAAACGGGCCCAGCGTCCCAATTTACAAAGATCACAGAGTTCCTGGATATATCATACATGCAAGGTGCTATGTCTTACAGGTAAACAGGACATAAATGCCAATGTCTGTGTGTGATTGTATAAGCTATGTTGGTGATGTTGGCCTGCGACTCAGCATTTGGC